TCTTAGTCAGAGAACATGGAGATTCTGTTATGGACAGTTTATATAACTGGTTTCAAGACGACTGCATGCGTTTTCATTAACTGAGTACCCTCTTGTTTGGAAAAATTTCGTTCTGTTGAACGAAATGATTGTGCAATAAACGTTGGTATAAGGATTAATGAATGTTAACGAGAGATAAATTCGAATTGTATGCACATTATTCGTTGAAGAATTGGGTTCCTGAACAAGAACTCAAATTTTCTGTCGATAATGCTGCAGAAAACGAAGTTTAACTTGAGTGGAAACGGAATTGAAGGCGTTATATCTCTGAGGATGTGTTTGAATTCGCTGGAAATTGACTAGTTATACTAGGTTGATACTTCCTCGAGTCTAGACATATCAACTCGAAATTTTGGCCCAAGTTGATTCGATCCTGGAGGCTGGGGAACATAAGCATTGTTGAAACGGGACTATGTCAGGGTCTGGAACAGATACCTTCGAGGGAATTGGTCCTGTGGTGGAACTCACTTGGAAAACTCTTGTTTGGAACACGCAGCTTCCGTTCTAGGGTATTGCTGGGACAGCAATTATTCGAAAATGGGGGAGAGCAGTATCACCAGATTGACAATGAAGAGTTTCCTTAAGGCTAGGAGTGGAATGGTTGAAAGGAATGAGGTGAAATCAAGGGGAAGAACGGTGGAACAGTTAGAGCAGGAGTTAGAGAAATGTTCAGAACAAGCGGAAACCGAAATAACAGGGTCCTCATGGATCTATACTTGAAGCCTCATTATAGAGCAACGAAAATAGAGTCTCAGAACACGGAGAAGCTTGGGTGGAACAGCTGAAGAAACGAATTCTGGTGGAGGAAATAGCGTTTTTCGAGTTAGGAGTCTGGGGAGAAACAAAGAAGTAGATCGGTTTAGTACCTATCAACACTCTGGGCAGCTGCAGCGCATGGGAGGGGCAAGTTGTCGGATTCTATGAGTCCAGAGCCGAGATATTGAGGAGGAACATAAGGGAGGAACGGAAAACCAAAGTAAACGAACGAAATTTCGAGCCAAACACCAGTGGAATCGACAATGAATTGAATAATCCTTGGAAAGAAGAGTGCAGAGCTTCGAACTCTGGGGGCCCTCTTTGGTTGAATGGCGTTATTGAGTGTGGAACAGACTCAGAAGAACCATGAGAGTTGTGGAACAAGTGGAATCAGTATGGAGCATTGAGGAACAACTGGAAGTCATGAGGGAGGAAGTCAGAATGGGAGCAGGAGGACTGAATGCCATGTGGAAAGCTTCGAAGACTGTCAGAACGAGTCAGAACATACCAGAAACCAAGTGGAACAACGAATCAGAGAGAACGGAACGAGACCATTAACGAAAGACCTTGAATCCTGGTCGACTGGGGACAGTCGAAAGTGAAAAATGGGGGAGATGATACGCATGCAGATGGTTTGGACCAGAAAACTATTGGTTTCTAGGTTTCCTCTGTCGATGCATACATCCTAGAGAACTAGCATGAGTCCTGAATGACTAGTTAGGGAGATATCTGCAAGGTGGTGACTCTCTATCATGGTTCCTCACGGTTCCAGGGTACACAGTTGCTGTCCTAAACCACTACAACTACTAGCAGAGCCCGACTTCATTGTAGGAAGATCCAACCTGCATGTACTCAAAGGGAACAACCAACAAAACCTTGATTCTGGTTCAATCGTTATGGAGGAATGCCGAATCTCACTTGTGGAAACCAGATAATGGTATGGACTGGACTTGGAGACAGCTGGAGAGCCAAATATGAGCGTTTGGAACTCATGTGACCACGTTCAAAACGAATCCTGAACGAAGAACCACCTAACAACAATCCATCACCACTTGTTTCGACTATATCTCGATGGGGAGCTGGAGTTCTGGGACATATTGGGTATCGTTGGAATGCTAGAGAGGTGCACAACACGATCCAACACTCGTTGGGCAGGGGAAACATGGTTTACTGTCGAAGATTTGGGGAATTTCAGGGGTTCCAAACGACTTTTGGGTGATCCAAGGATCTACAGGGCGGAGCACACTATACCATAACGACAAGGGGCCTAAGACCGGCCAAGAATCGGAACAAACGGACTATCTCTGGGGGAATTACTCCGAATTATGCATATCCTTTGACTGTACATTATTTATAAGGTTCGCTTGGCACTAGTATTTAAGTAGTAGGATGTAGAGCTGTTCTGCAGGCAATCTGGGTCGCCTTCCTCTGCCTTAGGGCGGTGGGAGGAGGCTTAAGGGTCTGTTTGGGCGAGTCACTTTGCAGTCTTGTACAAATATTCTTCTTTTGGATTCGTCTCTGGCTCGGTGGAAGGTGGTGGGACTGTTGAGGGTTCGTTCTGGAGCATGGGGAACTGTTGGGAAAACTGGAATCTTCGATAAGAGTTGGGTCAATAACGACTTTGGTTACCAAAATTATCAACATCTGTGTTCCGGTTGGCGTTATATTGGGTTTCGGTTGGCGTTATCACTGTGTTTCGGTTGGCGGTCGAGGATTTAAGGCAGTTAGTCCTGATCCAAGACATCTCTGGACGGTTTAAGGCAGTTAGTTCCTGACCTGAACGAGAACCGGGTCGGCTGGGGTTCCAAAAGTGTGTTGTATCACTCCCAGAGGCTTGTATACCCAGTCTGTGAGGGTTGGAAGCGTTCTCCATCGCTCCCTCATGGTCATATATATCTGGGCATCGTACTGGCGCTTCACTATTGCGGTGTTTCGTCGGTAGTACGCTTTAGATTGGGGAAAATCTGAGTTTGGAGACGAAGATTTGGTTGAGGGAACGGATTATAGGCAGAGGAATCATGAGAATCGACTGGAACTTCGGTCAACATTGCATTTACCACACCAATAACAATAATTATCGACAATGGAGAGTCTGGAACTAGCCTTGGTCAACGGCTAGAACGATCTCTGAGTGTGAGGAACGAGACAAATGATCTTGACAAGCCTTGATTATTGGTGTTTCGTTGTTTGCACTCGATATTTGGGTAGATGGAAGCGTTCTTTGGACAATTCTGTTACACAGTTGGGAAACTTTACATCCAAGCCTCAGATTTCAGTCCGAGTTTCGGCAAGGATTGGAGTTTGTTGTATTTATCTTGGCCTATCTTACCATTCTACACGATTTGGCACTAGTCTTTGAGCGTTATCTCGTTCTGAAGTTCAGTTCAGAACAAGATATGTCCATAGATATAGAGCCAGACCTTCTGAAGAGTGATTTGGAGAGTGATCCTCAATAACAATTCTCAATGAATGTGTTGAGACAACGACTTGTCAGGTTTATGTGGGTGGAGTGGACCATAAGAGAGTGTTTTGGGTTATGGTTAGTTTGGGTTGAGATCGTTTTTGTGAGAGGATTTGAGTGTAGAGCTGGTTTCAGCCTGTTCCTCATTCGTCTGAGTCCATTAGACGACGGTTTCATCCCATTCTGGTCGATATTCCAGTTAGCACACTGGCACTCCAGTTCCTATCGTTAGTCCTGAGCGCCGCAAATCATCGGAGCAGAGTGCTCGCGACTCAGAGCCTGAGTATCAGCCTGGCGAGGTGAACGCGAGCGCAAGCGCTGGCGCGATGGCCCCGGCATGTTAGGATCAATGTGCGGCCGGGGTATGCGAGACTGTGGAGGCCTAGGCTGTTGAGGTGGGGACTTGGAGTGCATTGGAGCACTGGAGGTGGAATGGGGCGGCATCGGCTGGTTACCAGAGCTGTGGCCAGCTTCACTTGCTGGAGCTTGAGTGGGTGGAGCGGGGCGGGGTATACGCGGCTTGCCCTTGAGGTCAGAATAGCGTGAATCTGATGCATCGTAGGGTTTGAAGCGGTTGTCGGGGGGTTGGTTTGGAGTTTGTGAAGACATCGAGAACTTGAGACTAGAGTCTGAATCAGTGGTGGTGGTCAAAGAAAGAGAGAGTCACCACTTGCCATGCTGCAGCAACCCCTGCCAGTCATTCCCGGTCCACTCTGTTGGTGCGCGTCGCCACTGATGAAAGCACAAAGGGAGATCAAAAGTGTGACCGAGGGGAGAAAGGGATCAATTATGATTGGCATACGAATGACAGATCCGTGCTACCTCGCTGTGAACACGACCCACCGGCATACATCTGAAGGATGCTCCAGGTGCGCCTGATGCCCGTAAAGCATCAGGCGCCCTGATGCCGCGGGCATTGCCTCCGGTGTCAGGGATAACATCTTTTGATGAGTTTAAATTGGGTCTTCTATCAGTTATAGCATTTGCTTGATATTCACTCTAACCAAATGGTACAATTATAGTTTTGGATATGTTAAACTTGCCTCACCCTGGCTCTCGCATGGTAAAAACTGGTCCTCGAAGACAGAATTGATTTGTGGTGAATGCTTGATATGGCATATGGTTACTGGAGCAAGATTGTATTATCTTATGGATTACCAATAGGCCAGCTGAGCAAGGCAAGTACTTACTACAGTTAAATGAGGGATACTAATAGCAACCCTATATATACACACTCGCACAATTTAACTAATTCGGATTCGAACGGGCGACCTCACGGTTTGCTATCATCGAATGTCCATAAGCAGAGGGACCGGTCTGGGCCCTGCAAATTTTTCCTGCTTCCGTGCTGCCACGACTTCTCGATGCTCCCGCAGAAGAGAAGGCGCTTCCGCTGCTACGCGTGGCGCCGTGGCAACGTGTCACGGCCCACGGTGGCCCAGGAAGGCATCACGGGTGCCCCAGGAAGGCACCGGGCCACGTTCGGCTCCGGTAACCAGCGGCGCAAAAGGCTATCTGCTGGACTGGCTGGTGCGGGCTTCGCGTCGCTGCCCAATCGTGTCGCATGCTAGCCAGGCACCGCAGCAGGGCGGTCTGGGCCCGCCGCCGGACGCACTCCCTCCGCCAGACAGGCGTGATGCGCGCGAAGCGTCGATGCGGACATTGGGCTGCTGGTGGGCCCCGATCGGGCGCGTCACGCATCCCTTCCTTTCTTTCGTCCCCCCACCATCCGCCCGCGCGCGCCATGTCCCGCACCCCCTCCTCCGCGCAAACGCTCGATGTCGACGGCGACCTGGCGGCGATGCTGGCGCGCCTTGACGGGCCCGGCCCGCGCCTGTCGTTCGACCCGGCCGTTTCGGCCGCTGTCCAGGGCCAGAGCAGCGCCCCGCTCGACAGCCGCGCGACGAAGGAGAGAGGGCTGCTGGCCAAGCTGAAGAAGCGCGCGTCCATGCTCCTCCGCCGGCCGCCAAAGACGGCGACGGGCGGTAGTAGCCACCCGCGGCCGCCCCGCCTGTCGCTGTCGCTGCTCGCATCGCTCTCCGCCCCCAGCCGGCTCCCTGCATACTCCACGCCCTGCCTCCCCAGCCAGCTCCACGGCCACCAGCCGTCAGCGCACTCGCCCCCGTCGACGTCATCGTGTGGTTCCGCGTCATCGCGCGATGCCTCGTTCTCCTCCCAGTCGTCCTGCGCTGCGCCATCCCGCTGCACAGCCACCCGCCATAGCTCTGCGAAGCGCCATACGCCCCTCCCCAAAGCGAAGCCCGCTCCGAGAATCCCTATTCCGCCCATCCCCACGCAACGCCAGCGCCACCCGTACGTATATGGCGCGCGGCCACGGTCTCCAGGCCTGACCTCCAAGACCAAGTCGAGCACCAGTACAGAAGCGTTCGCCCATAGTCGTCACAGCAGCGTCGTCCTCCCGCCCCAGCTCTTCCACCTCCCCACCGCCACCGCTGCCCCGCGCACACCACCCCGCTTCCGCGACCGTGTCCAGCGGAGCACGGGCCGCTCCCCGCCATTCGCGTTCCACTACCCGTCGTCGCCGACGCTGGGCTTGCCGTCCTCGCCCCCGAGCTCGCTCGCTAGCAGCACGGACTCGGAGTGGTCGGACCCCGGCCTGTGGCTCGCCTCGTCGCTCCTCGGGGACGCGTTCACGGTCTCGGAGTCGGCCGCGAGCCCGACGAGCACCGATTCTGCGCCGCCACGTCCGCAGACGCCGCTCCGACGTATGACTGCGCGTCCCTGCGCATCCCTGCGCGTCCTTTGCGCTCCAGGTGCCGGGCATCGATATCGATGGAGGTGGCTAACATAATCTATTTGACGATACCCACACACGTCGCCCGTCCCAACGCTAAGTCGCGCTCCGCTCGCCAAGTCTCGCGTCCAGGTCATAGTTAAATACCTCGATTGTGTGGCTGTGTTGAATTATCAGAAAAATATTTTCACTAGCAACCGCGCAGCGGGGGAAGAAAATTTTCTTGATCCTGACCGTGGGTTTCGGGGGAATCTGGCGGTGGTATCATGTGCCCGGCGTGATCGTGTAGATGGTAGCACATGATGCGGGCAAATCTGCCCGTGCACTGATAGTTTGTTCACATCTACGGCTGATGCATATGCTGGTTAGTACGTCAGATGATCCGCAAAAATACACCGATGCTTTGGCTCAATGGACAGATCCGGGGGCCAGCGGAGCCTTCGACCACAACATTACTGACTTTGTGGTATCCATACTGGGCCTCTCACTACATGCCTGGGGCTTGGATTCTGTCTTTTTCTTCATGTCCATATCATCGGGATCTGCTGTGATGTTCGCGTTGCCATCAGTCGAAAATGTGATTCATGATCTGCGGCTCTTATCACAAGCTAAGCCGCCGCTTGCAGTTAGTTATCCCGGAAATAGCGCTCCTGGCCAAGCCTTAAGCAAAGCCGGCCCTAAAGTAAATCAAGCTTTTATTCTGGAAAGGTCAGAATCAATTCGGGCCGGCCCTAAAGTGATTGCTGACCTATGGATAAATGTGTTTCTGGAGAATTGGCTTCTCAAAGTGGACCTCAACAGCAAAATAGCATATACCATAGCTCTATTCATAGTAGTGTTATCGAGGCATAGTTACTGATATGACATGTAATGTGGATAGAATAGTACAATACAAATGATATAAATCCAAGTTAATCTTGCTCTTGTTCTGGAGAGGTGGGAATCAATTTCAGCCGGCCTTTGGCCAACTAAAGTCATAGGAAAGCTGTGCAAGTGTGGGGATGACATGGCCAGACTTCCACCGGCCAAACCAAAATTTTCACAGACAATGATGGTAACATTGCCAAATTTAGAAAGCCGGCCCTAAAGTACATTTGCTCCACAGAACTCTATATTTGAGATTAACCTATGGATAAGTCACATGGCTCTATTTATGGTAGTCTACAAGGGCAGATTTACTACTTGAGCATGATTTGAAGGTCCAATAAAAGTGGGTCAAATTCAAATTTTCAGATTATCTGCATTATACTATGCTACTGTACTGTTTCATTCAATTCAACGGCTTCGAAAAGTCAGCCAAAATTATTTGTGGTCCATCTGGAAATTAGGGGTGACTGTGATGGGCCAAATTGATTGATGGGATACAGTATACTAAAAGTGACTCAAATTTCAATTGCAGCACATTGTTGCCATGGCAACAAGGATGGTTGATTGGTGATCGAATGGACTGAATAATAAAGGATATATAAATTCAAATTCTCAAGGTGACTGCCTTAAGCTACTGGGGTACAATGAAAGGGAAGCAAATTTTGAACATTACCATATATATGGAAATCTTGCCAGTTTAAACATTGCACTGGTAACTTAGTGAGATCAACCACATGATTATTGATATGATGTCTAGAATAGGGATGAAATGGATTGAACACTGCAATAAAAGAGATATAAATTCGAATTTACAAGTTGACCAAGTTACTAGGGTACAGGGAATTTCAAATATTGATTATCTTTCTACAGAAAGTTTCCAATTGTTGCAGGTTTATTGTTGGCATAGCAACTCAGTGGTCTGATTAGACAAGCCAAAGACATCTATATAAGACAGTGGGAACATTTACTGAAGCCAAGCAAATTTGTTAATGTCTCACACTTACTTGGACTGAGTGTAAAAATAAAAGTACCACAAATTCAAATTTTAACTTATCAAAATTGGTGACACCAAAGCTATTAGGATCAATGTACTGTACCCTTGAAATGATTGTCTTAGGGGCCTTCTTGCAGATCCTGATGAATTATGTACATTGATTCCTATCAGTGGACAGAATGGCGGTCGCTTGTTGATCATGTAGGTAATTGATGGATGGGTGTGTAATGCCAAGGTAGGGTTTCCCTGACATTTAAATCAACAAACATAAATAGACAACAAAAAAAACACAATATATATATAAATGAGAAAACCATCGCAGAAACATATGATGAAATTCATTCTGTTTCTTCAATAATAAAAGAGAGAAAATTCAAATGTAGGGGGAGTTAACAAGATATAGCTATAAGGGATTTCACTCAGACCCAGAATTTGAAAAAGTTTGCTTATGTAATCATGTCACAGATCAACATGGGCCTCTATTGTGCAGAGTTATTTCAGGGGGGGAAAAGGCTCAATATAGGCATGTGTGGTGGATACATTTTTCACATAGGAATTTGCAGATAAGATAACTTCAAGGACGGCAGGGATCCGCTTACGTAATCAAGGCCAGAATAGTCTACTCGTCAGACAACGGTCCAGGCCCGCTCAGATGATGTGGCATGGTTGTTTGATTCTCGTTGCCCGGAGCTCGTTGATACCCAGCGCATCACAGGCAAGAAATCACCTGTGATGTCCGGGCCAAATGCCAGCCTTGTTTTCATTGCTGCCATCTGATTCTCTGCCCAGCCAGCTGGCTCCCATCTTCTTTCCACTTGATTGGCTTGCTTTCTTGCTTTGGGGTGTTGTCCTCCCGAACTGCAGCAGGACGGAGCTGAGCAGCTGCTATGACGCGCGTGATCAGAAATGTGTTGATGTTGGATACATCGGGAGTCCGGGGTGAAGTGAGCGGCTTGGCTGCTGCGTTGGTGACGTGGGCACATGGTTGAAGTTAGCAACCGGCGTGATGGGGCTGCCCGCGCATGCAAGAATGTCTAGTTCGTCGGTACTCGGCGGAGAGAATTGCCCGTGTCGCTTGAGGTGGATCACATCAGTTACCCGGTTCCGGCTGGGGTGGATCACATCTGTAACCTCCCGCTGAGCTGTTCAGTGGCTCCTTGCCTCAGTTGTGGTTATCTCTCTGGCCTTTCTCCTCTCTTGCCTTCCACTTTTGCCCGTGGGGCCAGCCATTTTTGCGTTCATGGTTTCTTTATCCTACATCTTTTTTGGGTTCCCCCGCTCCTCCCTGCCCCCGCGTCGCTCAGGCACAGAGCCCGAAAGGCGAGACTCCGCGTGCAGCGTGTCAGGTGCGCCATGTGATGGCGTGGAAGCATGGCGCCGTTGCCATGCACGCGCGATGATCGCGGCACATGATTGCAGCAACGTCCCGGGCCCGTGGGAGCGCGGGCCAGCTTACGCTTGGCGGGCGGCTACTTAAACCCGCTGTCGCCGCCATGATCCTCACCCTCCTCCTCTTTCTTCTCGCCCCCTGCCTCTTCTGCCGCCCACAGCCATTGCCTCCGCGAGGTGCGTCGGCCTGCTGCCCTCCCGGCTCGTTTGGCTGACATTTTGCGTGATCGCGCCGATCCGCCCGCGTGACGGTCCGAAAACACGTGGCTTGGCTGCGCCGCCGCCTTGCTCGCCGTTGCCGACTCGGGAGTTGCCCGCGCTGGGTGCTGCCCCTGGCCGTTCTCTCCAGCTCGGGCTCTGCCCGCTTCCTCGCGTGGCTGCCGTGGTGCGTTGTGTGGATGAAGCCCTCGTCGTGCTGTCTAACCGCCTCGACTGTGTAGCCGTGATCGAACGGAGCGCCCGGCCGTCGAGGCCGAGTGCACGTGACCCACCGCACGTCTTCCTGGGCTGAGGCCGCCGCCTTGCTTGCCGCTGCCGACTCGCGGTCGCCCACGCTGGGCCGCGTTCGCTGCTCCTCCGGGCCGCGGCCTTCGGCGCCGACAGCACGTGCTGCTGCGAAGCCGCGTAACGCGAAGCACGTCACACACGGGCATCGGGCGGTGTCGTCGCTTTTCGTCCTCCCTTCCCCCGTGTCCCGCCCGCCGCGTTCGACGCCGCCGACTCGAATGGCCTTGCGTTGTCGCCCCCAGGCATGTCCTCCCGTTCTGCCCGCCGCTTCCTGTTGCGCTGACGCGCTTCGTAGCCGTTGTTTGCGCTAGCGACCGTGGGCACTAGGGGAACGACGGCGAAAGTGCCCGCTTGGCTGACTCGCTGTACGTCGCAGGCGTTACCTCGTTCGGTGCGTGGCACGTTGCTGGCTGGTGTCGCGGCTGACCACTGAGGTCAGCAATGCAGGGCTGGGCTGCGTAAGCCCATGCGATGGCGATGGCGATGACCACGTCCTCGGGTGTGTTCGCGGGGCGCGGGGCTGGGCGGCTGGTGCGCTATGTTGTTGTGGATTAAGGTTTCACCGGAGCTAATACACCCACCAGCTCATTTGCTGCGACGCGCAATGAACGCTGGCAGCGCGGTGACACGACGGCGGCCTCGCCAGGCGCTACCGCCCGTCTCGCGCGTTCGGTGCGTGGCGCGTTGCTGGATCGTGATTTCGCGGCTGACTGATCGCAGTTGGGCTCTCGCCCGGCGCTGAGGCGCTTTTGCTTTTCTTTCGTCACGCCGCCGTCGTTCGCGCGGAAGCAACCGCTGCCGTTGGCGTTCGGGCGCGGGAGGCGTTGGCGAAGGGCAGCTGGGACGGGCTGGGGGTACGTTTGCTGTCGAGCCGTGTGTCGTGAACGCAGAGGGCGGGACTCCATTTTCTGGTGCACAATGAACGTTTCATAGGTGATATTTGTGTAAGGCAATGAAAAGACATTCTGATTCTGATGTAAATCCTGCTAATTCGCATTCGAACGGGCGACCCCACGGTTTTCTAACACCTGCAAATTTTTCCTGCTTCCTTTCTGCCACGACTTCTCGATGGCGGAAGCGCTCTCGCAGAAGAGAAGGCGCTTCCGCCGCTACGCATGGCGTGCGCCGTGGCAACGTGTCACGGGTGGCCCAGGAAGGCGTTGCGGGTGCCCCAGGAAGGCATCACGGGTGCCCCAGGAAGGCACCGGGCCACGTTCGGCTCCGGTAACCAGCAGCGCAAAAGGCTATCTGCTGGACTTGCTGGTGCGGGCTTCTCGTCGCTGCCCAATCGTAGCGGATG